AATGCATTGTGTGAGAAGATGAGGGACATGAAGAGGTGAGGCACCTACTGATGCTGAACCATGACAAACACAATGCAGCAAGAGTGAATATGTAATGATGCTACAAAACTCAGTTAAGGAAATAATCCATAAAAAATAACACATATAGTAGCATTTAATTAAAAAAAATGTTGCCTTTATTAGAAATATTTAGAAAAACTAATTTTCTGTTTACGCAATCTTTTTTAGGTCTTTAATTGAAAGGCACAATGCCAGCTGATTCTAAAAACTGTCACAGAAATAATGTAGAAAAGCAAACCCAGAGGTTAAATCTGTCTGAATTCAGGGTTGTCTTTTGTGCAGAGAGTAGCCTAGAGTAAGACTATGTGTCCTCCATGGAAAAAAAAGCAATACAGCATACGTAAGTAAGTGCGTCAGAAGGGATTAAGAAGCACAGCTGCCTGCAGAGACTGTAGAACACTGGGGCATCTTATGGTAGTGCTGCACAAAGCCTACAAGGGAGCCTAGCTGTGACATGTGATTAATGATGCAGAGGACTTTAGCAGACGTGTGTCTTATGGTTCAGTGCTAGCGGGCTATGAGTAACAGAACAACATATAGATTGATATCGTTGACTGATGTAAATGAACAACGCATCTTATGCATTTCTGGCAGTAGATGAGGATTAAGGATATTTAGAAACTTGGTAATATAAAGTTTTATTTGCCCTTCTGTCTGTAATTTTGCTGCTCACCTATGTTTTAAAATGATTTTCTACTTGAACAGGGATGTGAGGTAAGCCCAAATAGTGAACACTTTTTCCCACTTGTTTTGCATGTTTCCATTTGATTACGGTGGATTTTCACACTGTATCTGCTGACTGTTGGTTATTACCTGGTTCTAATAACTTTCTAGCTGTTCTGTAAAATATAGGCAAATGCACGAATTCAACTTTAGCATACCTTGCATTAAAAAGAGGAAATTAGACATTTGCACAATGAGCTGCAAGAATCTGCAAAGCATTTGAAGTGTTTTGAACAACTTTCTTAAACCCCCCCTCAAAAGCTAGGTTATACTTCCGTAGCCAACTCGGCTCATTTCCTTTTCTCAATACTGGCTCTGTAGACTCTTCTGACCCTGTCAGCATCTAACAGCTTTTCAGAATGTTCTGCACATAGCATATGGTAATATATTATTGTTTCAAATTCTCACCAAGTAAAGCAAACAATGACTTTATAATACATTGTGATGGTATCCACACAATCTCAGAACCAAGTAGAAAAAGGGCATTTTAAATAAAGCTTTAATATAACTCACATAAAAGACATCATACATAATTTAAAAGCAAGAAAAGATAACATTTAAAATAAATCAGTGAACAGTTAAAGCAATACCTGAAACCCTGCAACCATTCTAAAGATAGAATGTGTACCTAATATACATTGCCTCTTAGTTTAAAATCGCATGAAGCTAGATTCACCAGGCTTCTCACATTGCTTCTTGGTAGGCCTGCAACCTCATGTCACGTTGTACATATTGGCAATATTAAAGAAGGTTGTGCTGGAAATATGGAAGATGCTAGGCCTGCTGCCGCCTATGAATCAACTTCTGTACAGGGGCGGACTGACAACTCATGGGGCCCCCGGACAATAGGGGATCATGGGGCCCGTGTCCTCGCCCACACTCAAACCACACCCAAAAAAGCCTATGAAAGGTACCAGGGGCATCTCATGGGGCCCCCTACTGACCCTGGGCCCTCGGGCAGTGCCCGAGTTCCCAAATGGTCAGTCCGCCCCTGCTTCTGTACATACTGCAAGGAAACAGCCTTGCCCAGCTGTGAGAGCCAATTATGAATAAAGTCAAAGCTATTAACCTCCGCTTTTGGGGGGATTATTAGATTGAAAGAAAAACATTAGCATTTTTCAAGAATCACTTAACAAATGTTACACAAAAGTGATCACTTATCACTTTTGATTAAGCACTTTTTGAAAGTTTACTTTTAGGTTGTTCTTGGAAAACTGCTGATATTTGTTTATCGATATTGATGATTGTAATAAACCCTCCAATACTTTCATATGATTAAAACAGGACACTGACTGTGATGTATGTCTTTATCATTTTTAATTTCTAGTTCTTTGACTTAAAGCACAATACATGCACAACAAGTTGAAAAGGGGACCTGAAGCTTTTCCATGTATAGCCATAAACTTAAGCTCTTGATAGTCATTTTCATGGTTTCCCAAGCCACCTATCATGAGTTTAAAGCTCCTATACCATGTTGTGGTCCTGCCCATGAGTCTCCTAGTTTAATGGAATACTTCCAATCCTACACTTGCAGGTGAAACCCCAAACTATCTCAAGTGGCTACCCTGAAGAGGAGTAGTTTCTGTACTCCAAAATGTGGATGTCCACACTTCTCATTGCATGATAAAGGCTTGCTATATGCAGGGAACACTGTGAGAATAACATGGTGCGAGAGATATACCATAAATCTAGACCAGTCTGCTGTACTGATAGGATCTGCTGCACCTTTTATCCCTAAGTCAGGTAGCATACATTCAAGGCAGTGGAAAACAATTCCAGTTTCTCCAGTGAAGTAAAATGACAGAAAATCTATGCATATCTCTGTTTGGCTGTTTGGCTGTTAGTGCTCAATATCTTATCCTTTTGAGACTTGAGTATTTCAAGCTTTGTTTTAAGTGAGCCTATTTCTTCCAAAATATCAGGCTATGTATGGCCAGCCGAACTTCCACATTCCTATAAATCTCCAGGATCATTCTGATGAAACATTGAGTACGGCTTTAGCTGATAGCTGAGGTAGGAGAGCTCTAAAGAATTTGATCTTGTATGCAGTGCAGTAGGGGTTAAGGGATTGTCAGAAGAACCTTGGGCGCTTCAGCAAGAGAGAAGGGGGTGCTAAAAGGGTGAAAACTGCAACCTAATGTAGTTCACAGCTCTTGGGGAGAGGGTGCGCACGATCTGGCCTTTCACCTTAGTTTCTAAATGATCTTATCCCGACACTGCTACCGTGTTTCCCCGAAAATAAGACACTGTCTTATATTTTTTTTGGCTCAAAAAAACACACTAGGTCTTATTTTCAGGGGATGTCTTATTTTTCCATGAAGAAGAATACGGTACACATTTATTGTTAAATGAAAATAAAGGAAATTTATTACCTGTATACGGTACGGTAGTAGTCAACACAAACCAGACAAACTGTGAATCCTACAGTATCAAGAATTAACTAATTTATTCAATGACAATCATGTCATCATCTTCTGGATCATCATAACAATCATCATAACAGGCAGTGTCACCAGAGACAGACCAGCACTCACCACCTACGCCGCGTCCCGTCCGCTCTGATCCTCCTGTTCTTCTACACGCATCTGCAAAAGTCTCCTCCTCTCTCCCGCCCCGCGTTCACCGCTTACTCCGACCTCTGCTCCGCCTCCACACAGCAGTGACATCAGGACTCCGCGTAACGTCACTGGTTGCTAGACGCCAGTCGGGGCGGCCCTAGCAACCAGTTTACGGTAAATTAATTTTCATTCCGTTACAGAGCCTAGGGGGGCCTTATTTTGGGGGGATGCCTTATATTTCACCCAGAAGGAAACCTGTAAGTAGGTCTTATTTTCTGAGGATGTTTTATTTTCGGGGAAACACGGTAGTACATTATTATTTTAATAGGAAATGTTTATTTTTATTTCTTATCACAGAGTCCATTGCCATCTCTGCAAAAAAGACAAAGAAACCCTATTGACCGGGCCCACCTGTCCCCTATAATATAAAGCTACTTAGCAGTATAATTTGAAATGCTTTCATTTAAATAATTCTGTGTCCATAGCTTACAGTAAAAAGGAAATTACTGAAGTCAGGAATTTTAGACCACAGGAAAACAAATTCACATTTTGTATCTAATTATTAAAATCTAAAATATATGATGCTGCCTGTCTTATCAGAGGGCTTACAAAGAACATGGTATTGGCAAAGCTACAAAAGAGTTCATTAGCTGCAATCAATGCAGGGTGCCACAGTGTGCGCTAATCCCATTTTCAAGTACTAATATCTGCTGGTTTGTGTTTTGACCAGACCAGCGTCTTCTTCAACTTGATCCTATTAGGGAGCCCTGGGACCTGACAGCTCCAACTGTGAAGGTGAACGGCAGGAATTCTAATCACTTCGTTACCTTGGCAACCTCCCTGACTTTTTCCTCCTGATTGCTCGACCTGCAGCTGCCGATAAAGAATACATATCTGCACATTACGCTGCACATTGCCCTGCTGTGAACACTGCATTTGCTGCCTGGTTCTACTATCCGTCTGCACATAGAAAACAGTGTGCACAACAATTACTGTTCAGGAATAAAACTCGGAGTTTGCTCCATGAAAATCTGTAATACTATTAACATGTGTATACAGTATGTACATTCCTATTTAGATCAACAGCTACAAACAATCATGGATCAACAAACACTCTCAACAGACTAGTAAATTAGCATATGGGGCAAAGGGCTAAAGCTGGTTATGGATCTACAAGGTAGGAAAGTAGTACAGGTATCATAGTTTTGAGGCTTTTTGCTCATTTGATTGTCCAGCTTAGTCTGGCCATAGATGGATCGAATCTCGGCCAGTCCCTGCTGAACCGGCCGAGATTCAAACCACCTATGGGCAGGCTGATTGTACCCAATTCAATTGCTGTATGACTTGGGTACAACCAGCCTGTCAGATTTTTCATGCGATTATTGCAAGCAGCTATAGCTCCTAGCAATATTCACTGTGTTCTCCAGGGGTAATCGAGCAATCTTCTTCCCTGCAACCTGTAGCTGCAGTAAGGAAATTTGCACCACATATGGCTGGCTTTAGTCTATGGAAAAGCAAAATACATCCTTAATCTCAATTTGCAGGCCTGTCTAGCAGTATGGAACCATGACACACACACACGCACTATATTGCCAAAAGTATTGGGCCCGCCCTCCAAATCATTGGAGTCAGGTGCTCCAATCACCTTCATGGCCACAGGTGTATAAAATCAAGCACCTAGGCATGCAGACTGCTTCTACAAACATTTGTAAAAGAATGGGTCGCTCTCAGGAGCTCAGTGAATTCAAGCGCAGTACTGTGATTGGTTGCCACCAGTGCAATAAGCCCATCCGTGAAATTTCCTTGCTAATAAATATTCCCCAGTCAACTGTTAGTGGTATTATAACAAAGTGGAAGCAACTGGGAACAACAGCAACTCAGCCATGAAGTGGTAGGCCGCGTAAAATGACAGAGTAGGGTCAGTGCATGCTGAAGAGCATAGTGCCAGAAGTCACCAACTGTCTGCAGAGACAATAGCTAAAGACCTCCAAACTTCATGTGGCCTTCGGATTAGCACAACAACAGTGCATAGAGAACTTCATGGAATGGGTTTCCATGGTAAAGCAGCTGAATCAAGCCTTACATCACCAAATGAAATGCAGAGTGTCGAATGCAGTGGTGTAAAGCACGCCGCCACTGGACTCTAGAGCAGTGTAGACGTGTTCTCTGGAGTGACGAATCATGATTCTCTGTCTGGCAATCTCATGGACGTGTCTGGGTTTGCTGGTTGCCAAGAGAACGGTACTTGCCTGACTGCATTGTGCCAAGTGTAAAGTTTGGTGGAGGGGAGATTATGGTGTGGGGTTGTTTTTCAGGGGTTGGGCTTGGCCCCCTAGTTCCAGTGAAGGGAACTCTTAAGGCGTCAGCATACCAAGACATTTTGGACAATTTCATGCACCCAACCTTGTGGAAACAGTCTGGGGATGGCCCCTTCCTGTTCCAACGTGACTGCGCATCAGTGCACAAAGCAATGTCCATAAAGACATGGATGAGGTTGGGGTGGAGAACTTGACTAGCCTGTGCAGAGTTCTGACCTCAACCCGACAGAACACCTTTGGGATGAATTAGAGCAGAGACTGCAAGCCAGGCCTTCTCTTCCAACATCAGTGCCTGACCTTACAAATGCGCTTCTGGAAGAATGGTCAAACATTCCCATAGACACACTCCTAAACCTCGTGGACAGCCTTCCCAGAAGCGTTGAAGCCGTTATAGCTGCAAAGGGAAGGCCAACTCAATATTGAACCCTACGGACTAAGACTGGGACGCCATTAAAGTTCATGTGTGTGTAAAGGTTTTTCCTTTTTATTTTGTTGTTTTGTTTTTTTTTTAACGTATATGCGTGTTAATGTTTTAAAAAAGTGTAAAATGTACAGTGCCTTGAAAAAGTATTCAAAAAATTTTGAAAATCATTTATCATTTTCCTTCCACTTCACAAATATGTGCCACTTTGTGTTGGTCTATCACATAAAATCCCAATAAAATACATTATATTTTTGATTGTAACATGACAAAATGTCTAGGGGTATGAATACTCTTTCAAGGTACTGTAATATATTATATATATTATATATGTACACTTGAGCAGTTACATTTGTTCATTTCATATGTAGGCTCAGTTTTCTGCTTTACATTGGTACCCAACAGCTCTGCTTTACTACTACTTTTCACAATGCAAATCTTTTAGTTGGTTGACACATTGAAAGCAGTGCAATCTGGTATAATAGACCTCTTAACAGTTGTTAAAAGAGTACAGTTATCCTTTAACTCGCATTTCCCACCACCAAGCATCACAAAGCATCCATAGGAAAACTCTAGAGGCCAGGCTGTGCATGCATTGTAGAATTCCCATTAATTTCTTTGGAAAGCCCATCCTCCATGTGTTCCAAATAGTGGATGGCCTTTCTATAGAATAATTGGGCATTTTAGTGCATCTGCACTGCCTATCTTTTCGTATGCAGGCTGTACAACTACCTGACATCTGTGTTATGATCCACAAGGAGCGGGACAGTTAAAGAATATGTAAACTCAACATTTCATGTTCCTGATATATGCCTGTAATACCATGTACTTGTATGAAAAGGTATCCTGTTCTCTTTGTATTGCTTCTTTTGTGTGAAATCCCTGATGTTCTTGCTGGTCCCTCTGCTTTTAGAACTGACCACACCAAGCAGGAGAGCACAGCATGGTCAGTTCTCTTGCTGTGTTGGAACTCAGTGTGTTCTCCTCCAATGATGAGACCTATGCTGATTCCCTCCCCCCCCCCCCCCACCCACACCCGCCTGCACAGCTACTTGCTGGGAAGTTCAGTGTTCTGCTGTGTCTTCTCCCTGAGCTCCTCATGCAGCTGAGAACAGCTGAAAATCTCTGAGAACAGAGATTATGTGATCACTTATTAAAAAAAAGGGAAAAAATGTATTTATAATTTATTTTAAATTTATACATAAATGTTTTTCCTTTCATTTCGATTTTAAACTGAATGGGTTGTTTTACAGGGTGATGGTTTACAAGGCATACATGCGTAGATTTCTCCATCAGTGAGAATTAACCTCCCTAGCAGTATGATTATGTCAGTATTTCTGTGCTCAAAGCGGTACATTGTTTTCAATGGAAATATGTTGTTTTTTTATTTTAGGCCTGTAATTCTTAGGAATAACTCACTGAAATCTGTTTAAACAAGAGTCTAGTAGACATCCTGGGTGCAATAAAGTGTAATACATTACATCATAAATAATAATAAAAAAAAATATAATAATAAATTAAATAATGTAATCAAACACACAGAACTCTGTCCAAACAATATTATATAGACACTGCATATTCTAGAAAAAAATCACGGGTGTGGTATATGTTGAAACACGGGACTGGACAAAGTCCGACATCGCAATCAGGACAGTGGAACCTCGTTTCCTTGCGGATTTTTTTTCCACTCATCTTGCCGAGAGCAACATACCACACACATCCATGTAGGTGCTGCCTTTTTTTGGGTTGGTGGGATGTGGTCCATAAAGTGATGTCCAGTCAGGCGTTCTGAGTTGAAAACTGCCACAGCATGTCGTACGAATCTACCCACAGACACTGATGGTGTTTGAGGAAAATGGATTCCGCAGCTTTCCAGATAAAGTCTGCATGAAGCACAGGCTTTTCACTGTTTTTGCGGAACAGAATGTAGGCATTCCACAAGCACTGTTCCAGAAGATGCCAGAAAATCTTTTTGTAATATTTCCTCTGCTGCTTTCTCATCGCCGGACAGAAAGTCATAGCTTGGTCAGCTCAGTCGACACCTCCCATGGTGCTATTGTAGTCAATAACCTGGGGCTTCGGATAGTTTTTCCCACCTTTTCATTGTACCATCCCTGTGGAGGCATTGAGAATGGTACTCATTAGGCACACATCCTTCTTGTCCCGCCATCTCAGTGCCATCATTTTGCCTGTCAGGCAACTATTTCTCCAGGCTTCAGTTTGGTTTTTCCAAACATTGATGGCAGGTTGAGTCGGTTAGCCCGAACGGTTCCATAGGCATCTGTTTTGTGCTGCAGAAGAACCTCGTAAAGTTCTGGAGAGGTATAGAAATTGTCCGTTATTACACAGTAGGCTTGGTTCAGCAGAGACTCAATCGGTGACAGGACAGAAGATGTTGCCATTCCATATTTGCTGTACTTGGGATCAAATTTAGTTCCTTTGCCAGTGTATATAATTGTGTTTCATATGTAGCCGGTAGAAGATTCGCACAGCAGGTGCTCTCTTCGATGCAATATACTGTATCCAGCTGAGCCTTCCTTTGTAGGCCATTAGACTTTCGTCTATACTAATGTCTCAAATTGTTCCAAAATTTTTTTTTAGCTTGGGAGCCGGATGAGTTGTTTCATCATAATCATCATTGTTTGCGAAGTGCAAAAATTTCATAAGTGAAAAGCTGTCTCCAACATGACTGTAACAAAGAACAGCATGGCGAGCATTTTGTTGGTGGTCCAGTACCACTTCTGCAGTGGTTTCCCCACCACTCCTTGTAGAATAATTAGGCAGAGAAAAAGCCAAATGTCCTCTTTGGTCACAGGTTCCCACGTTCTGCTTCATGAAAACCTGCTGTGTGGAGCAGCTAATTGTTGCACTGCGTACCTATTTGTCTCCGTCATGATTATTTCAATAACCTCATCGGTCAGAAACAATTCTAAGTATGCCAAGGGGTTGTCAACGTGGACTTTCATATCAGGTGCGCCGGTAAACGGAAATCTTGGTGGCGCTGGTGTACCCCAATCAATAGTGCACCACGTTCGCCACAATTCAAAACTGCACTATGGATATATCTGAGGTAATGTTACAACGTATGCACTAGAGTAACACTTTATTTTGACACGGGTCTATTTTTAAAACTCCCACCTCCCGCAAGCCCCGCGCCGGCTGTCTCACGCTGATCAGCGTGAGATAGCCGGAAAGGAGACAGGGGACGGTCGGAGGGGATGGATTGAGGCGACTGCAGGACCCTGATCGCAGGACCAGGTATGTATTTTGCGGTGACCCCGCAACTGGCTCGGGGTTACCTCTTTTGACAGCTAGATTTAACCCTGAGCCAGACTCGGGAAAACTGCTAGGGAGGTTAAAAAATCTCAGCTTATGGTTATTCAATTTAAGCAGCATGACACCTGCGGATGCTTGTTATCTGAACAGTGACTACAAATGATTGGATTCAGTCACTGCTTGGGTGACAATATTCTACCCTGTTCAATAAACTCCATTTTTTTTAATGAAGTTTGTTGAGCCGGGTAGTGTCAGCAGGGCCACCCACGGCTTGAATTTTGGCCAATTCAGCGAGAATTGGACAAAACGTTGGTCCTGCTTGGCCAGTGTAGTGTAGAATCCTTTAGTGTGCAATTCCTCTGTGACAGCTCCACTGTCCACTTTGGGCAGTCTCTCAACTTTGGGATTAGACCCTTATTATACAAAGGTCTCAAGAGCATGGCCTCTTAAATCATAGGTTTAAGCATTCTTAATGGATCCAATCAATCAGGCATATAGGCGTTAAAAAGACAAAAGGAAACACATGCTTGAGAACTTTGTAGTGAGGGACGAACCCCAAAGATGAGCGGGTGCTCAAAGGGGATGGTGAAGGTTTCATGGAAGGATTGCACATGGTCAATTTATGCACATGAATATCTGGGCTGTTATTTTTTTGGGACGGAGTTACCATTAAATATTGACATTATGAATATTACTTTGTCATGGTGTCTGAGTCACTGGAGTAAGTTATGTTCTGTATTTTATCATTATTTTTAATATAATATAATGCACATTGCTTTGAGAGCTTTGCACTTTTTATATTTTGTTTTTCCTGGAGGGCAGCACTTAATATATGGAAGACAAACTTGTTCACTTGCAAGGCATTTCTG